AATGGGCAAAGCCGAGCTATCACTTAAATGTGACATTTTTTAATTTATTACATTTGAGAATAATAAGTATCAGGGATAGAGACAGGATAGACGAGGCGGCGATCAAGGCTATTCGGCTGACAGTAAGTTTTATACAAGAGATGTGGTTCATGTAGCAAATGCATGACCATGAGACTTACTCTGAGGCTTTGGCCTCTAATTAATCGCCCATGTGCAGAGGATGGACGAATTACGCCTCGAATAGCATAGATAGAGGGTGGGCAGGGGTCGAGTGAAATACGTGTACCAATGGGATAGGAGACGGATTCGACGGGGCAAGAGGGAGACTTTGATAGGATTGAGGTAAGGACTACGTAACAATATGACAGACTCTGATCAACATTCTTAGCACAAGGGTGAAGAGGTTGATAACAGCAATGTGGAGTGTGAAGGGTTTTTATAAATGCCGCTCGAAGGAGCACACCACACTACATTAAAAATAAGCAAGGTAAAAATTTTGACATGGTAGGCTTGATAGGAGGATATAGGAAATGTGAATAGCCCAGGAAAGAATGGGAGATACCACAACTGTTTAGCACACGTTCGGTCAAAGGATTGGCTTCACTTGTCTCTTTGACGAGTTGTAGTATGGTGCTACGAATGGCGAGGCTCACTGACGATGCCGACTAGGATGCCAGCGAAACGTCTGGGAATGTACCACGTCCAAGGTCCTACTCTGGAAATGCTGATGCATACAATGGACTCAGGACTAGATGCGTTCCTCTCTTCCTACAAAAATGACCAAATTGCGAAAATAAGGTCAAACAACTTCTATAAAGCAGCATGTTTGAAATAATGTATTCCATGGCCTCCCTTTTGTTTCATTTGGCAGACGCGCATACTTTGCGTATTGCGACCAATTTAATTGAACTGATCACTATAGTTGGCTTGCTAAAAATAGATTTATTTTACCCTTTAACTCTTCTAATTCAAACCTCATATTTTTATCCTTGATCACTAATCTCTTCCTTTCCCATTTATCTCCTGAGTTACTCGTTTTTCTTACAACTATTTTTATCCCTTTTACTCTATTTAATAAGAGTAACAGCCGAACAGGCTCAGCAACTTGCGTGGGATGCCGAGTTGGCTCGCCGTAAAGCCGCCTTGTTGGATCACCAAGCTGAATTGGAACGTGAGGCAGCACAGCTTTCCCGCGAAGCTCAAGCTGAAATAGTGGCTGCGGAAGTCGAAGCTCGTCGGGAAGCCATGACTCTCGAAGCCAAGCTTAGAGCTTCTGCAATTCAACGGGCTCGTGAGGATGCTCAACTAGCTGACCTCAAACTTCCCGATTCGGCACGATGGGCTAGTTCTGGTCCTGCATCTGGAAAACCCAGTAGGCAATCAGGACCCATTTTTTGTGAGACTACCTGGCCCGAGAAGAATGATCTGTTACACATCCAGACTTTGAAAACTGCCGAAGAAGTGTGTTAATCTTTTTAAATATTTATTTTTATCTTGTATTGTACATCCAAGCATATAGATCAGCTAGTTACCACAAATAACAAATAAAATCAGGACATGCCGCTTGATTTTTTTAATTATTGTTTCTTTACTACTTTAATTTTAAGGCCGAGACTGCCAAACCACGAGTGGAGCGGGCTCGTCAATCTACTGGAGAGACTAATGTTATAGCCTCTAAAAAGGCCTCTATCGTCTCCTTCAGTAACCACGAGATTCCGCTTCAGTTTTCAACAGAACTCCTTTCACACCTAGCGACTAATCATAACACGAAGCCGCAGCGTCATGAGGAAGCACTTGCGAACAAGGCAACTCTGGAAGTTACTCCCGTAATGTATTTGCGATACTTCATCTTATTAAAATCTTTTTTCTTATTGTTCGATTGCTCAATAAGACATAAGTTTTCGCATTCATTCACATCTGACTGATGCTTCCCCAGTAAATGGATACACATTTTTAAATTATTTTTACTCTGTCGTGCCTCATTGTAGCTCTTATTCCGTAATTTACTCGCGCTGGGTCTAGCCAAATTTAATTTGTTCGTTATCAGAACAGTTTTTTCCAATGCAAACTCCTCAATATTGGGCTGAGACATGTTTTCCTAGCTTAGCTATAGCTCCTCTGTGACATTACTCATCATACACTCAACATCATACAACATTTTTTCTCTATCTTGGTCTGAAGTATCTGCATTTTGGCTAACTTTGGATAGATTTATAGAGGTTTGCTTTTAACTTAAATTGCTTCCTTTTTTATCAGGACGATACTGCAAACTTGACTACAACCGCTGAAATCATTTTCTATTAGTTACCACAGCAACGCCAATGATTCAGTTGTTTACTGAAACAAGTATATCTTTTATCTTCTTATTTTTGTATTTTTTTCATAACCTGTTAAGTAGGCCATTAGTACAAGCCCTAAATATAGTTTTTACATTCTTCGATTTTGGTCCTGCATAAGTGTAGTCGCACAACGTCAATTCTTTTTTCGACTGCTGTTTTTTAGTTCCCAGTGATGCATCTTCTTTTTATGTGGAACTTGCCTATATCTTTGTTGCGCTCACTTCCATTTCAAATGAAGTTTAAGAGATTCGAAAGTAGATCCCACCAGAAGACGATGGGGGATTTCTTTTGACCATCTGTGGAACTTGTCAAAGATACAATTGAAGTGAATCCCTCGACAAACGTTCTGCTGAAAACGGTTACACTTTCTGTCCTTTGTGTCCTGGCCTATCTATCTACTCTTTACCCTCCTATTCCACTGCCACCCTATCACAACTTTGGACTTGTCTACATTCCACTCGTCAAACTGTGTGACCTTTTGTGGTAAATCTAGTGGGGCCTAATCACACTTGCTATTTACCCCGACTACTCTCTTTCGATCGGCTGATCCGACTCGGGCCTTTAATCCGCATCGTTTCATTGCCTCTTAGATCCGTTCCTTACGTTTCTGGTTGACGGATTTCACTCGGTTCCAGTCTTAATATGCATTTCACTACAGTTGCACGTACACTGCCGCCTCACTAAGCAGAGCGCCTAAGCTCTGATTCCCATGCTTGCAGATATCAGTCCTTCCCTTCACGGGTCCTCTTTTTGATTAAACCCATGTGATCTGAGCAAACTGTGGACGCCTTTCTCTGGTCGCATGCGGCATCTCAAGTGGATTTCTAATGCATTTTGGCCATAACGGAAAATTTCACAGACGGTTTGCTTATCCGTCTGCCCAGCTCCCTGACTGCTAGGCGCCCAAAGTTTTACTGATTTATTCGAAACGGACATCACTCATTGACGGCGTCTTCGCTCTATTGCCGAAAACCCCTGTCCCCCAGTTTCCTTATCGCGATCCATTTTCCTCGGTTAGCGGTAGATCCTTTTTGCTGGTCTTGCTCTATTGTTTTCCCCGAGTTTGCATAGGCAGTAAGCAAAGTTATCATTAACTCTACCTTCCTTCAATCTCCTGTTCATTAAATTTTTCTCTCCAAGTATGTCAATGGCCATACCAGAGGCCACAACATCGTAGTCTTTATATATTGATTCATTAAGTTAGAGAATTCATTCAAATCCTTCTTACCATGCCGCGAATGTGCAAAGTGGTCATTCACTTATTACATAAGCACTTTTGGTTTTAGCTGTGACTACTCGAATTCCTTTTCCAATTTGCACATATATACATTTGCCAAAGGAGATGAGTGTGGATCCCATTGTTAGTCCAAATATTTTCCCATTAATATTGCTGTTAAATGTAATATATGTTGTAGTTACTGTCAGGTTGAACAGTCATGTTAACGGATCCTTCCGTATCCGCTCTGTCTCCAAGATATCCTTCTTTAGTTTAAGATCTCCGGTAGCTAGATCTACCTTCTCGACATGTTTATACATGTATGGTGTGTCAAATCTTACAAAGATTGAAGGAGACATTGATACGACTGATAAACCAGCAGTAGGTATCACATATGTTAATGAGGAAATATTTGGACTACCAAACTAGTGGAACACATCGCGCAGACTGGACACGAGATTAATTGGAAGGCATCAGAAAAAAGAGTTCCATACCGCGACAACACATGGACGCGGAAGATAAGGGAGGCCATTGACATCCTCAGGGAGAAAAATTTAATGAACAGGAGATTGGAGAAAGGTAGAGTTAACGTTAACTTTGCCTACTACTCTTAAGCAAACTCGGGGAAAACGAGAATAGACCAGCGAAAAGTAGACGCTTGGATCAAGGATCTATCGCTACCAGGAGGAAAAGGGATCACAATAAATAAAGGGGGGGCAGGGGTTATCGGCAATAAAGCGAAGACCTTGTCGGTCTGTGATGTCCGTTACGAATAAACCAATACAACTTTGGGGGCCGGGCAGTCAGGGTGCTGGGCAGACAGATTAGCGAACCGTCACGGAAATTCGGCGTTATTTCCAAAATGTACTAGAAATCCACTTGAGATGCGCATGTGATCAGAGATAGGCGTCAACAGTTTACTTAGATCACATGGGTTAAATCAAGGAGAGGACCCGTGAAGGGGAAGCCTGATATCTGCAAGCATGGGAATCAGAGCTTAAGCGCTCTGCTCAGTGAAGCGACAGTGTACATGCTTGTAGGGACTTGAGAAATAGCGCCTGGAGTGAAATGCACATTGGGCCTGGAACCGAGTTAAATCGGCACACATTTTTGACGAGTCGAATGTAAACAAGTCAGAAGTTTTGATAGGGTGGCAATGGGATACGAGGGTAAAGAGAAGATAGATAGACCAGGACAGAACGTTCAACCGTTTTCGGCAGAACGTTTGTGATTGACTTCATTTGTCTCTGATGCGTTCGTAACTTGGTAAGGAGAATTTTAAAACTCATTGATCAGGCCGACTAAGATTCTGGCGAATTGTTTGAGAATGTATCAAGTCCACTGTCTGATGCTGGGAGTCATGACAACTACTATGGCAGACGACTTCGATCTTAATGCATTCTACTAATTCCCCCTGACATCAAGATTAAGTTGCAACAACGGGGTCAACCGACTTTTGCTTTGTTGTTTTTTGATACCTTCACATCCTTTATGCTCTTCTTCCGTTATCGCAGATTTGATGGTCATCTAACTTGTTTATGTATATGGTGTAAAACCATGCTTTTTTTCTGCGAGGAAAAGCAGTTTTCTATTTTTTATTATAAGCCCTTGAGCCTCTTCTAAGCAGCTCGACTAAGCCTGATCTCATAGGCATCTAATTTTTAGGAAATACTTTCTGTGAAATTCTGGCAAACTCAAATATCTTCAGGTAACCTATAGATAATTTTTGAGTCACAATGTTTAGACCATTATGAATACATGCCCAAACTATGCATTCTCTAAATTCCCTGATTTTGCAACTGCATTGTTAGCGTCTAAATCTATTAAAAGTGTAACACGTAATTCCCATAATCTCATCTAATGTTAGCTATTCGCTCGGATCCTGATGAGCAAGATCATGGTCTTATCTGAAGTTGTTCATCCCCGAATCTCATTGTTAATTTCGCACAATTATTTCAAATTAATGTCTACATTTGCTTGGAACTCCAGTTAAAAATAGCCGCTACCTGAAACAATTTTTTGTAGATCCTAAAAAACCTTTTAACAAATCTGCAATTACTTTAAACATCAGCCTGAATGTACCTGCATTTGTTTATCTAAAGCCTCCATATTGATAATAAAACGCCCATATTCGTTTACAAACTCTTCTCTTAGCTAGCCTGATTCAGACTATAGAGGTGGGGTGGCTCTATGCTGACTTAAAAGGTCATTATCATTATTAGCTCATTACTAAACTTTCGAATTTATTAAATCTTTCTTAAAATGTATAAAATTATTAGAACACATACAATTAATATATTATGAATGTTGTCTCAAAATAATAAATTTTATTATTATTCCATCTTAGAACCCTTCAAAACTCAGACCTATCTTAGGCAAAACAGTTCAGCCCTGCAAGCTAAAACCTACAACTTCTCTTTCTATCTGGGACTGCCCACCAGATCTTAATTCTGCTCCGAAAAAGAGGAACAAGCACAAAGTGAGCCTATTTATTGTAATCAACCTGGTCGATTTCAGAAGTCTTAGGTTTAATTATGAGTTATCCTAAATTGTCTCCTTTTTATATAATGGCCCTTAATGCATTATACTCGATTATGTTTAGATACACGATTCCTGTGTGTAAT